TGTTCTGCATTCTGCCTTTTCCATGTTCCAATAGTCTCGTGCTATTTTGGTGGACTTGTTGTGCGGAAGACAGCTACGCTATGGCACTTTCCTTAACTTGAATAACTGCCTCACTGAATCATACTCAATGTTTTTACAAAACTTTGAAAAAACTGTTTGTATAGAAGTCTCTGCGTCAGGTTACTTCAGGAGCTATGGTCCATTTGAAGGGTAGATTAGGAACAGTTCTTTTGTGCAGTGCTACACCCTACTGAAATCGTTCATTACTGATGGCTGTGAAGACCAACACTGCAAGGAGAACAAATATCTTGGAAACTGGATTCACCTCATCGTGGTGCTTGCGAACGAGAAATTGTCGAACGCCTGTTATAATAACGATTTATAACATTTTGTTTGAGCTTCATCAACGGAAGAAAATATTGTTAGTTCATAGCAAGGTTCAAATTCGTTTTAGACGCTGTTTGTTAGTTGAAAATAATACATAAACAAAACATAGGTGAGAGGTCTCATTTTGTAAATTCAGCCGCTCAAATGCACACCGCATTCGCTTACACAGGTGACCGCTTATTAACATTTTCACCACCAAATAGATGGAGGAGTCAACCGTCATCTCACAAAAATGATCTTCAAGAGACGATGGCGCGGACGTGTTAACTGGGAGAGCTTTCACTCAGTCAGTGAAAAAACATACAGAGAACTGGACGATATCTTTTATCGTTTCTATACAGATCTCCGGAAGTGGCTAAGCTACGAAATGGTATTGAAATTCTTCGCACACCAAAAAGCGCTCATTGAGAGCATGTACTGAATAGCTTTGAACGAATCACTAGGCCTAGAATAATAATTAGCCAATCACACGTTAGAAGTGAACAGCCATTAAGACGAGGTTAAAAAGCCGGTATAGGCTAATCAAAGAAAAGTGATGGTGTGCTAAGCCTAAATAGTACAATATTCTTCAGATTATTCTTCATAAGGAAGTAAAGTGCTACTACCAAAAGATGTCAAGAAACAAGTGAGTTAGGAAATTTTATAGCTAGGAGGCGGAATACATTGCTCCGCCAATCGCTTCATAACCGTCTGAATGTTAAAGCAGTTGAGTGCGTGATATGTCCTAACGGTAGAGACGTCTGCTACATGAGTACAGATATGATATATCTCATCTCTTTGAAAAACATATGATGATGCAGCAGATAACACTTCTATACATTTTTGTGCCTGTGATGAAAGAACACTTAGACGGAAAGTTAAATAGTTGCACAAGCATATCTAGGTGCATATAGAAAAGAAAGTCAAAGAGGTAACGATTTTGAGGTGGTAATAAGCATCCTGGGCTAGAATCGAAAATGTTAGCATAAATTCAAAGGCTTTTGGATGAACTTTAGAGTTTTAGAAATGAATGGAAGAGGAGAGTGTCTCAATAAAGCCAGCTATATGCCATTCCATCCTGAATATCTATTAGTCTGAGTGTCAGTGTTCACCATCATGCATCAACTGACAGATTTGTTCTACTTGATGCTCTGGCTTAGGAGGCGGGTTCAAACGTCTCTGAACCGAAATATATAGGTAATCTCACACCTGATAAGACGGTGAGTGGTACTTATCAAAAATGAAATACCTCTCCCTATATATATCTTTTTCTCAAAAAGGGATGAATACCTCTAGGCTTTACTTATAAAAGAAATCTCAATTTCACTCGATTAAAGTCGCAAAATACGTTCAAATTGTGGATATTATGACATTGAATATAATAATAATTATCATCAAATGTCCTCATATTCTAGAGAGTTCCACATGCGAGGATTCAAAAAGGAAAGGGGTGATCTCCATAGCCTCATTACATTGTCACTAGTAGAACGCAAAGATTTCTCCTAATTCAAGATGTTGGCTAAAATTTGTTGATTTGAAATGCAAAACTATATGGCCATCTGCTCGTGAATGACAAAATAATCGGCGAAGAGTTGCTGATTTGGCAACTCTTCCTTGAAAAATTCATGGACGCATGGCACCTGTGTTTTCTCATAATTGTAACAATTGTTATATGTGTTCAATCAAGGAAACTTTTTAGTTCTTACTGCTTTTCAGCAATAGTATAAGATTACAAATATATACATATATATATATGTATATATATATATATATAAAGGATAAAGCTCTCGGCGTTAATCAATCCCTGAGGGATGCGCCATGCATTCGACTTCAATTTTTAACTTCGTTTGAGGTGATTGAATGCACATCTGGCCTTTACAATGACTCGCGGTGGCCTCCCGCTGAACCGAGTCAGTGCTGCTTATCCTCCCAGACAAGTCTGAGACCTGTCTGGTACCAATTTACCGACCCCGGAGGGATGGATGGCTTGGTGAGCCAATGAGCGCGAGATCGAACCAGTGACCTCGTGTGCGACGCAAGGCACCTCTAACCACTGCGCCACATGCGCTCCTATATATATATATATATATATATATATATATATATATATATATATATATATATATATATATATACTATATTATATATATATAGCAAAGAATATTAACGTGTATGCAAAATATTTGACTCAAGACGAAAGTTTGAACCCGTGTTCCACCCATACCACTTCTTTGGCACAATCTATCGTAGCTGTCGACTGGATTCCTCCAAAAAAATAACTTTCGCTTTTGCTGAATCAACACAACGTTTTCATAAGGCTCGTTTCTGCTAGTGTTACGGCGGTTTCGCCATGCTGAAGTGAAATGACGCCTGCTATACACCAATTCACATGCGGAATGTGTGCAATTATTCCGCCCATAAAATTTTTATAGGAAGTCTTATAGGAACATTGATTGGAATTTGCCGACTTAGTAATGTATCTAGCAAAGTCGAGAAAAATGCTGTAGCAAAGCTGTCGTGCGATTAATAAGTCAGCTGGTACGTCACGGGACTATTAGAACACAGAATTGCAACAATACGGGGCTGCTACAGTGCGGAACTGGTATAATACAGAACAGCAACAACACTGGATTGCTTACTCAGCTCCTCTCGGCGACCATAAAAATTCATAATAGAGCCATGTTTTCACTGCTTCGACGGTGCTTTCGACTCATCAGTGACTAAAGATACAAGATAGAAATATTGCATCTCGAGCTGGACAATACTCGCCAACAAGTCACAGTGCTGAATTTTTTGCCCTTGATTACAAACGTAATATGTCTTGAAGCCTTCCACTATAAGTTCTTTGCTGCAGAGCATTGAGTGCAATGCCAGAGTAATACGTCCAAGCCGCTATTGCTTGAGTACTAATTCTGCTGTGTGACGTATGAGTTTTCTACCACTAATCGCTAAACCGTTGGCGTATAAAATGAGCGGTTATTGGAGTGGTGCGCAAAAACGTTTGCGTCTGCTGGGACTCAAACCCATACTTCACTCTTTGCGGGAGCGCGTGCTGAGCCGTTGCACCATCGACGCTCTTTTTGCAGGTTTTTTACGTTTTCGCACACCACTCTACGTCATTGAGTTTATTGTGACATCATAACACCGCCGTAGACGGTCAAATAAAATAATTTCTGAGCGGTTAGTGGTTTTCAGGGCTACCTGATCGCTTGAGCAGGTGAGACTACATTGCTACACCAGGTGGTGCATTGTTTTCGTGTAACGAGCAAAAGAATTCACCTTAACGTGTCTTGGAAAAATTTTAGAAATACACTCAGATCTTAGTTCAGGGACAATATTCAAACTAAAGTAGCCTTCATTTTTGCTAGAAGGTCAAGGTCAACGTCAATCTGGAATCTCAGTCAACTCAAATGGTATCACCACAGTGGTGCGCTCTCGTAAAGAGGGAATACTACATGACGAATAGGAAATGGACGAAAGTCTTACACATAATTTATTGCTTTAAATCATTTCAGAATTTTGGAACACAAAATAAGTCGAAGTGATCAGTTTTTGTATAAGGAAGAAACCTTTCGGGTTTTTTGAATGCCTTCTTATAAATATTAGGAAATAAACTACTATGTTTGCTTTCGTGGCAAGAAATGAATAGGCCTCGTAGTACGAAATATGCGAAAAAATTGTGTTTTGTCGCAGATCGCGAAGAACTTGAAGGAAATTGATGGTATTCTGTAAGCTTCTACCTTGATAAGAAACTGTGAACGTTTTAAAAAATGATCAAGTGTGCCTCTGCTCATTCTTCCGTCAGTAAGGTTCTTTACAGCGCCCACTTTCTCATTTCATACACTATCAGTTTTATATCGAGTAGCTTTTGCCTGTCTCACAAGAAGACTTGATAATTCAATGCAATTATATTTTGATGTTACTTACTCAGATACGATTTGCCTTTCCTTCCTCATATTATTGGGTCATTTGGGCCACCTCAGCAGCAGCTTCTTCTTGAAAAAAATCTGTAAAAGTTCTTGTCATGGCTATCAGGTTTCCTATTCGTGAGAAAAGGAATCCTTCATAAACGTGTTAATTTAGTGGCGCTAAAGAGAGCATTGAAGGTGACCAAACACTATTTCGATTTTATAAAAATTGCTGCCAAAAACATGCCGCAATAAAAGTTGTCTTTATTTTTGTTTATCAGCAAATTTTTTTCGCAGATTTTTTTCCAGAAATGCACTAGTGACGTTGGCGTAATCTCCATTGCGATTGTTTTATTTTTGGAAAGTCGGCATTTTATGTCGCAGCACCACAAATGATGACGTGAACCACTTTCGAATCGTAACACCTGAGGCATCGGTGGCGTATTTACTAAAAGTTCTCTACTGAGCACTTCAACTCACCTCGAGTCATTCAGAATTTGACATGCACTTCAACTTACCAACCGCTTTCGGCCTGCTTTGGAATACCAGAATCTCTCACGATAATTGTTTTAGAGGATTTTACTTTGGTTCAATTGATTTGACAATTATTGTTTTTAATACTATATACGTTGTTTCCTTGTGACCAATGTCACGGAAAAGATGTAAAGTTTGTTTTCACTCCAATGTAAGATGTTTGTTTAGATTCTAAAAGCGAAAAATCTATAATGACAAGCCATTTGAGCAATTCGTTTAAGATTTCTATACTAGCTGCAATCTCGACAGTGTTAGAGTATGAAGTGATACCGACGGTCAAGGTAATAGATAGAAAATTCTTATTTTATTGTAAGCAAATCAAATCTCAAGAGAAATTCTATGAAGTTTGCTAGAATTAATGTGTTAGGCACTGCTTAAACTGAAAAGCTGTTGCACTCCGTGACTTCTAATGAAAGGACTGCAAAATGAGAACTTGGAAATCAGGCTCAAACCATTATCCATATATTGACTTATGTTGAATTATTTACTAAAGGATACAGAATCTCGTTAAGCAAGCACAAGAACCTGGGCTGTCACTGGTTTTTGCCTGTCGCAATGATTTACGTAGAAAAGACTGGCGAATCTGCTTAGGTTTCTGGTGTCGCTGCTAACTAAGAAGTAGCTAGACATTTGTACAACGCCTTGTGATGTAAACTGTTTGTTGGCAGACCGGTATTTTGCGCCTTTTTTCCCGCGAATTCTGGATAGCGTGAGAGCTGAATTCCAATTGTCCGACAGTTAGTCAGTTTTCCAATGTTAGCATGACTTGCTCCACATGATCTGACAGTGAAAAACACTTCCAAAAAACTCTTCGAACTATTGGAAAACTTCCTTTTCGGATTTTTGACGTTCTCGAAAGCCAAGCTCGTGCTGCATTGCTACCCGATCCCGTAGTTTCTACCATTTGGGTCAGCTTACCGTCAACGTTACTTACGAACCACTGCTATGTCAGGCAGTCTCCCTCAAAGTGGATGAAATGGATGAGTCTTCAATAATCAGTATTTTTGGAAAATTTCGGGTAGAAATATGGCAGGAATTCTAAGGAAGTCGAACTGCCTTTGTGATTATCAGAAAAAACTCTTACCCAAAGACAATCAGAAATTCTAACAGAAAATGAGAAAAACTGCCACAGTGATATTGAAACTAAAGCCTTTGAATTTGACGATACTTTCAACAAAATCTTTCGAATTTCTTTCGGTAATAACCAGGTATATAATTTGTAATGTGACCGTCTTGAAGTTCCTTTCGGATTTTTTGTTGTAACGAAAGAAGAAAGTGGCACCTGAAATATTTTTTTGCAGTCAGTACGGATATGGCTAAGATCTTACAGCGCTGCATCATCGTTGACGGCACTGTGGCGGGAATTTGCATGCTACTATGGATCAGAATAAGAAGTGTGATGAAACAGGCATGATGCAAATGATGGTGTTACCAGCTACACTTCGATAATAGGAACTTTGTCGGTTTGTATGGTTATCCTTCTTCATACGAACTCGTATTATGTACAAGTAGTGAACAGAGCGGTTCGAATGTTGGCATCACGCCCATTTGGATTGCACATCTTCTCGGCATCGGGCACTGTCGGTGGAAACTGAATTACAACTACAATTTGCTCAATACAAGCATTTTTCTTTCAACGATGATTGATGTAGTATTGAAGTGGCAATAAACTGGCAGATCATAGAGGTGTTTATCAATTGGAGTGATACAGAAGATTACGTTAGAATGCACAGTGTATTGGGTTTGAATTTAATATTATTCAAAAAAGTTTTGATAACCTTCAAATGAAGAATTCTCTGGTAAACCTCCTTTGCTTATGAATCGAAAAAGTGCTTTCTAATATTATTCATCATTGCTTCACTAATGTCCTCAATTATCGAGCAGTCTAAGCACAGGGCAGAAAATTTCAATGTGTAACCTGCCGCGTGAAAATAGAGCACAGTGCACTCAATGAGCATCAAATCATTCTTCCAGCGTTTTCGTGAACAAGCCAGACATTAGCTCAACGCTTTTTCTATCGTCCCTTTGACATTTCACAGAATGCAGGGTTAATAGTTCTGCTATATCGGCTGTCATTCAGACTTTTACGCAGTCAATCCATCTAAATTTCTACACCTAAGCGGGTGTATGACACCTGTGCTCATAATCGTTAGCGTATACCGTCATTCCATGCTCCCTCTCACATACGCGATACGGTGCACTCCCGGCACAGCAGTATCGACTTCACACTTTCTCACTGATTTGACACATATTGCAACCTTAAGGTTTTCTTCAGCACTGAATTCGAAGGCCTCCTGTCTTTTGATGCGAACCGCTGCCTTCGGAAAAGTTAGTATTTGGAAGTGCAGGCGCCTTTACTTATGATACATGGACGATAAACTTGCTCGCCATCCCATCGTTTCGGTGGTCATCGGAAAGTCGCTCACATTCTCTTGGAGTCCATTCCGTTCGCCTCTTCGTTCATCGGTTATCTGTTTTTCCCTACTATGTGGTGAGTCCATTTTCGATATATATATATATATATATATATATGTACATGAAATTTTTTTTTGATTATGTCCGTTTTCTGTGGCATTCTCATTTCAGTAGAAGGCGGAATGATATATCAAGCAAGGAATTCTACTTTATTCCATGATGAAGGAGAATTCTCTAAACTGGAGCATGACGAATTTGGCTGTGTATTTCTCGCATGACAAATTGGAGACAATATTATCACAAAGAAATCATGGACCCTATAATGTGCCTCGTTTTGAACGATGACTAAACTTGAACAGGAAATTCCATATCGGTTTACTTGAACTGCTGAGCCAAGAACAACATCGCCACAGTATCTCTCTGTTTCTCACTATGATACTGTTTCAACGACTGCATTCACAAACTATTCTAACAAAAATCATGAGGCACAATTGCAAGACAATTATTTTATGTGAATCGCCACTACTTTTTATCACCTCCCAGTGATCGAACAGTGACACAATAGTGTGTTAGTATCTTTATTCTTATTATAGCGTGAAGGAGTATCCTAGTGAGTTTTCAGTCTGTAGTAATTTTCGACCCCCATGTGATTTTCCCATGAATTTATGACGGAAACAGTGCTCATCAGGTGGTCTTCCATTGTACGCTTATTCCGAGGAATCCTTTCGGCAACGGCTCTTGTTAGTCGGTTGTCGCCAAAATGACTGCTTGCCTAGTCCATCTTTTCCCAGCAACTTAGCACGCGGAACTTTATTTATGTTATTTGATGCTTGACGTCATTTAGGAACTTAGGATAATCTTTTTCATGTGCGAGATATGGCATACTCGCAGAATTGATCTGTTAACTGCGGGTTCAATAACGCCAGATGGTCCTTCATGCTGCTTGCGTAGCGTCCAAGTTTATGAAGTATGCGTTATGTTAGAATCTTTATTGACATATGGGCACGAATTGCTGCTGTATTTTCGATGCTCGTAAACTTTCCAAAGTCTCGAGCATCTTCCAGCTCAACTCTTTAAGCAGATCGTTTATCATATTACCTTCGCGACTTGATTAGATGCAGCTGGAGCATTCGAAGATCAAATTTCGTTGGATTATGGAATTATGAGAAGGCACTCTCAACGCTCAGTTCTCTACAAATCATTTTCATGAGATTTGTT